GATGCTCGATGAGCTGGACATATGGTCATTTGGTCAATATTTCGTGGAGAGGAAAAGATGGATGCCCTCGCCAGAATAAGATCAATTTCATCAACTATGCCATGAAACGCAAACATTTCTTTATGCCCGTTAATATCTCGCTGACAACTAAGTAGAGGAATGCATCCCGTTGCTTTGTTTCTGTCTCTCCTATCATGACCACAGTGGCCTCCCACAATCGATACAAACGAACAATCACTTTCCATGATAGTTTTTCGACGGATTGCAACTAACTGGTTTTTAATTCTCTTAACTTTTATATTTAAACAGGTGTCAAAAACTGATGGCGTCGTAAAATTAAATTAAGTACAGTAAACATCTAGCGGATGACTTTTCGAAACCTTTCAGTTGTAATGAAAAAAATATATATATTACAAATATTTAATAAATTTATATACAATTTTGTATCTTTTGTTCCTTAACAGTCTATTAATCCGATCACCCAGATTGAATTATTTTTCCATGTGACGCAACGTTATAACCACTGGATCCCTTATCTGTTTATCTCGTCGTTAATTAGTTTGGGAAGCCTGTGTTTATCCTTCAGGTGCCACTGTCACACAACTCTTCTGATCACGTTTTAAGACCAAAGGTATATCGGCAGCCCGAAAGTTCGCTATCAAAATAGCAGTTTTTGTGAGACCTAAAATATTTCAATGGCAATGGATGTGAAATTTCGATCGACTGAAAAGAAAGCCGGACTGCAATACTGTGGATATAATAGTTCTGTCTGGGGTTACTTTCACGCAACACGATTCTCGACTTGGAGACTGACAATCAGCAGAAAACAAGATGCAAGTTAACCAGAACGGGAAAAGCATCGAGGTAAAAGAATGTTCAGTACAGATTTCTTAAATACAAGTGGAATTGTGAGTTAACTTTCTAGCGGAGGCGTAAAGCTTTCGTGACTTGTCGAGCAATAACAAAGCGACGATCCCGCGATCATTGCAAAGTCTCATATTTCAAGCGAAATTAATTCAACTTTAGAAGGTTCGTGTGAAGTACAAATTGAATTACCCAAGCCAGTTCTTACATATGTTTTAGCACAATGTTTAAATAGCTTATAGCTTGAGTTTCAGGTAAAACCAAGGTGTAGCACATGCCTATAATTTAAAACGCAACTTGCAGCCTAAATCTAAACTTCGGTCAGTTGAAAAAGTATCCAAACTAAAATAAAATTGTTTATCTTCCAGATTATCGCTAAGATAAGAAATCACCACCAAACTAGCAGTAAAACCCTTTACAAGTTGATTTATTGGTGAATGTTTTACCCCACTTGCTTCCTTTTGGCGTGCGAGCGAAGTTTTGAGAACGCCTCATTTTGCCTCAATTTTTGATTGTTTTCAAGTCACCGACCTCGAAAATTGATTTTGTCGATTTTCTCCTAATCGAAGCGGTCTTTTCAAAAACAAACTACACCACGTTTAGTTACTTGCTAATACCTTACTATGGACAAGATATGAGCGAAAACGATTTTTTGACTGTGGCCGCGAAATTTCGATTTTGCTCGATTTTTATGTAGATTAAGTACAGATAATAATATGAATCAAGTGATCAATCAAACAAAAAAGCAGAATGAATTAATTCAATCCTCTTTTCATATTAATGGAAGATACAATTCGCTCTGCATATCATATACTTTATATACGCACTTGGTATGTGAAAATTGGAGGTATCATAAAGTGATAAGTCTTTGAGAGTTAGAGTTGTTTTGACTATAATACAGATTAGCTTGTTTTGAAATTATAAAAGGAGCGGGGGAGGTAGGGGCACCCTGCGAACAGAGCCTCCTTTTGCCTTCTTGATCGAGAAGGAGACAAGGGAGGTCTGCCTAAATCCCGTCAAACCTTTGAAGTCACCAAACTTCTGGACTAGTCAATCTTGTTTTCTCTTGTAAAACTTTTTTTTTCGAGTCCGAGCACCTGTTTTTTGATAAACCGATCGTCATAACTGAGCCCGCTGTAGCAAGCGCACGGCTTTTAGGCCTGGATTCGAAACTAAATCCTGGCAACATTCCGCGCATGCTCAACAAAAGATCTTACTCGATTCTTGCAGAGTCTTTCTTGAGTACTCCAAAATCGAGCAAGCGAAAGAAAAGCTCTGCTGGCAGGATGAGGAAGAGGTTGAAGTGCTACTATTTGCTTGCGCAATTGACAATAGTTTCCACGTATTCTGTAAATGCAAAAAAGAACCTTGTTCCCATAAGGGTCCATCTTTGAGAGGGATTGGGAACGACGCTGCTCAACCTCTTTCCTAGGAAAAAGTGACTTGGAGACAGTTACCAGTTAGCCTGTGTGCCAAATGCATAAAGGTGTCGGAGGGAAGAGAGATACTTAACAATCCTCGCTTCCTTTTTTCCCTGACTTCAACACAACCTTCGACGTCTCTCACGTATCTACATTGTTCCGTCTGTGTGACAATAATTTGTAGGTCAAGAAAGATTATCCTACCAAAGACATCTCCGCCATTTGAAATGTTACTTCCCAATCGTCAAACGCAACTTCTGCAGTTTCTGTGTCAGGTTTCCAGTTCCCAGCCAACATTTTTCTGCAGTTAGGGCATACGCCTAAGAGATTACAAATATCAGTAAGCACACTATTTTAATTAGGATTGCACATTCAAGTAAAAAAAAAAAAAAACCATCTCTTGAACATTATTTTTTTGATATTGCCCGAAGTTTAAAACCGAACAGGTGTATTAACGCCTTTTTTAAAAAAAAATCAGTGAAAATGAATTCTGCAGATAAAATGAAATTAATTTGATTAATTTCAGCTAAATTATTTTCCTTTGCAAAGACGATTTTTAAGTAACTTTTTTTTGAAGAAGTACATTAGCGTTAGTTCCTTTATTTTTTAGAGTTACAAAAGGGATACAAACCTGACCCAACAGGAAGAAATATCCCACTCTGTTGTAGCACTGTTTGTGAACCTGCTTTGCTTAGACCTCTATCCGCTTTTGGCTTTTTGCTCACGTCCTTACTATGACCTGATAATATTGATGGTATTCTGCATTTGTCCGGAACTCGGCGTGTCCATCCAATACCCAGAGATGCTCGATGAGCTGGACATATGTTCATTTGGTCAATATTTCGTGGAGAGGAAAAGATGGATGCCCTCGCCAGAATAAGATCAATTTCATCAACTATGCCATGAAACGCAAACATTTCTTTATGCCCGTTAATATCTCGCTGACAACTAAGTAGAGGAATGCATCCCGTTGCTTTGTTTCTGTCTCTCCTATCATGACCACAGTGGCCTCCCACAATCGATACAAACGAACAATCACTTTCCATGATAGTTTTTCGACGGATTGCAACTAACTGGTTTTTAATTCTCTTAACTTTTATATTTAAACAGGTGTCAAAAACTGATGGCGTCGTAAAATTAAATTAAGTACAGTAAACATCTAGCGGATGACTTTTCGAAACCTTTCAGTTGTAATGAAAAAAATATATATATTACAAATATTTAATAAATTTATATACAATTTTGTATCTTTTGTTCCTTAACAGTCTATTAATCCGATCACCCAGATTGAATTATTTTTCCATGTGACGCAACGTTATAACCACTGGATCCCTTATCTGTTTATCTCGTCGTTAATTAGTTTGGGAAGCCTGTGTTTATCCTTCAGGTGCCACTGTCACACAACTCTTCTGATCACGTTTTAAGACCAAAGGTATATCGGCAGCCCGAAAGTTCGCTATCAAAATAGCAGTTTTTGTGAGACCTAAAATATTTCAATGGCAATGGATGTGAAATTTCGATCGACTGAAAAGAAAGCCGGACTGCAATACTGTGGATATAATAGTTCTGTCTGGGGTTACTTTCACGCAACACGATTCTCGACTTGGAGACTGACAATCAGCAGAAAACAAGATGCAAGTTAACCAGAACGGGAAAAGCATCGAGGTAAAAGAATGTTCAGTACAGATTTCTTAAATACAAGTGGAATTGTGAGTTAACTTTCTAGCGGAGGCGTAAAGCTTTCGTGACTTGTCGAGCAATAACAAAGCGACGATCCCGCGATCATTGCAAAGTCTCATATTTCAAGCGAAATTAATTCAACTTTAGAAGGTTCGTGTGAAGTACAAATTGAATTACCCAAGCCAGTTCTTACATATGTTTTAGCACAATGTTTAAATAGCTTATAGCTTGAGTTTCAGGTAAAACCAAGGTGTAGCACATGCCTATAATTTAAAACGCAACTTGCAGCCTAAATCTAAACTTCGGTCAGTTGAAAAAGTATCCAAACTAAAATAAAATTGTTTATCTTCCAGATTATCGCTAAGATAAGAAATCACCACCAAACTAGCAGTAAAACCCTTTACAAGTTGATTTATTGGTGAATGTTTTACCCCACTTGCTTCCTTTTGGCGTGCGAGCGAAGTTTTGAGAACGCCTCATTTTGCCTCAATTTTTGATTGTTTTCAAGTCACCGACCTCGAAAATTGATTTTGTCGATTTTCTCCTAATCGAAGCGGTCTTTTCAAAAACAAACTACACCACGTTTAGTTACTTGCTAATACCTTACTATGGACAAGATATGAGCGAAAACGATTTTTTGACTGTGGCCGCGAAATTTCGATTTTGCTCGATTTTTACAGACAGTTGCTCTTAAGAGTTTTGTTGTTTGAGAGCTTGGCTGTTTTGCCATCCCATACATTCAAATTAAAGGGGCATTTTGCATTTTTTGGAGACTCTAATACGTTGTTGTTTGTTTCACAGAACCTTTAACAAACTGTTGCATTTTTCTATTAGTTATCAGAAAGGTCCCCAAAAATACATAAGCATACGTGGTGAACTTTGTTTGGTGAATTATTGTAAGTAGAAACAAGAACAAGGATAACTTGTTTATTGTTCATGTTTTCCATAATACAGGAATTTACTATTTTTTTACCAAAATGGTCATGAAATTTTTATTTCTTTGACGGTTTGGATCCATTATCTTTTTCATACAGGAATTAAGTTAACAGTGAATAGTCACTGTATTAGTTGATAGTAAAGTTGTTGCACATACCGTAGATGATTACCATGGCAACTGCATACTTAACTCCAAGGTTTAACAACTTCATTCCATTACAAAAACATAAACTTAGTGTCAATCAGAGTTTTCTGTGCCCTCCCTTCCCGGTTCAGACGCCCTCCTTGACCCAACACCCGGCAAACAAAGACGACTCTGACCAATGTTTTAAAATCTGATTAGTACTTCATAACAACTTCATGGGTTATACGAAAAGGCCGCTTTGTCCTGGATTTAAGTGAACATTTGTGTTATTCTTTTTTTAAGCCTTGCTGCTTTCTCTTTTCAAATTTTATTTTGACGGACTGAAAACTCACCAGACACTAGCAGTAATCTTGCATGAAAAAATAAAACCTGAAATCCTGGATTAGCTGCTAGAACAACCTAATATATTTTGTCACTTGGCATTGGGCTCAGACATCTCTACTTGATATACTATGATGCCATTAGGCCAAATAGTCTTGAACAGTTGGTGGATCAAGTTGAAAATGTGTTGATGTTGTGTTACCATAAAGGCAGGTGAGAATATTTCTAAACAGTGCGGACACTATATACTGCTTTCCAACTGCGCTTGATCCTAACTTTAAGTTTTTCTTGAAATCTAAGAACTTGAACGAGTTGGAGATATCGCCAAATAGCCATTTCACCGAAGCTCTAACAGAACTCATTGCTGCATTAAATGCTTCCATATCGGCTGTAAATACTGAGACCTCCCCTATTCGGTAAGGGGCCATTAAATGAGGACGAAGAGGGTAAGCTGGGTCTCCATAGAGACATAGGACGTCCCCCCTTGGACTGTAAGCTTCTCTTTCAAGCGTTTACAGCAGGCCAGAGTCTTTGAGCATCCCTGCATGGTGGCATGCACCCTCCACCGGACCATAAAGATTTGCTATCAAACCATTTGGCAGTACTACGGACTGAAATTTTAGCGCATGAACATGCTTGTGCCCGTTGTATACAACGAGCTGTTTTTCTCCAGGGCGACATATTGGGCGAACCGTGCCGTCAATGAAACCAAAACAATTGGTAAGTGGACTTCCTTGTCTCGCTATAGCACAGGCGTATTCTTGAAGGCAAGCAGGGGTAAGAAATGGCTGATTCCAAGAGGTTAACCGAAACCCATGTTCATTAAAACCCAATCAAGTACAGTGTCAGCGATCATGCACAGCTCTGGCACTGGACGTCCAAAAGTTGAAATTAAATCGTTCGAAATAGCGGCATGGGTATGCTAATCGTTTTAGCAGTAAACAAAGTCCTTCTAAGCCACTGCAAACTGTTCCCTGTGGGCACTTGAAACTCGCCGGAATCTGCAAAGCGTTCAATAAAGTCGGAATATCATCCTTGGCCACCCTGAAGTGCGCTTCGCACTCGCAAGAGTCGAACACATCCAAACAGAATGGATCATCATTCCAGTACGGAAATGAAGGATTAACGGGTTGATAATAATCGTAAAGAACAATAAACTCTTCATCATCTAGAAAACCATCCGCATAAGCGATTAAAAGGGCGTTTCTAGCATCTTCAAAAGACATTTTTTTTTCCAAGTGCAGCCGTAGTCCGTAGTCGTTGTCACGATCTTAACGTCAAACAACACTCCAATTTTCGCGCCTTTTTAGCGTAGTCGGCCCAGTCCACGCGTGGCTTGGACTCTCACGCCCAGACGTAGTCCGTAGTGACCGTATCTTAAACTCCCTTTTATCTAAGATACCGACCACAAGGAAATTAATTGAATAAAGTAAGGACCAGATAAAAAGGGTGAACAGAATTGTTCTGTTGTTTGCAAAGTATTTATGTCGCTGCGACGTCAATCATTAGAAATCCTACTTGCATTAAAAAAATACAATCCTAAACAATGCAATACAATAAATAAAAAGAGGAATATCTGAGTTGTTTACCATGCGGCCTCAATTAAAGAGTAAACAGGGTAGATGTACTACTTACGATAAACTTTGTATAGAAGAATCCAAAAGTGCTGATCAGATCCTCTCCCAGCTTATGCATGATACCGCTAGCCAGTCAAATCACGGACAAGACGAAGACCACAAAAGGAGGCAAGTAAGGATAGTAAAACGCATCAAAAGCATTTAAGTAGTTTTATTTTTTGTTTGTATCCACCAAATCGTGACCCAAAGAGACAACTCAGAACAAGAAACGCTGTAAACCCAAATATGTCAAGGGCAATACACTAATCTTTGGAAACGTTATCATCACATCATTTGTTTTTAGTTTTAGATGCTTGAATAACATCATTGATTTTGGTTTTACTCTTAAGTACAACACTACCCTACATAATTATGATACCTGTCAGTGTAATAAACTGTATTTCCCAGGTCTCAAAACAAACTGGTGAGGAAAACAAAAACTAGCATACAAGGCATCAAAAGATTTTGACAATGTCAATCCAGAAATTGAGGGAACTAAATTAATATTTTTGTTTAAAAAAGAGCAGGTTTTATTGTAGTATTTTATTGACTGAATTTATTTATTTTACACAAGGCCATTCTGAAAACAACGTTTTTTGAGAATGAACCCTGTTTGAAGATTATTACTGTTATTACTATCAATATTATAGTTGTTATTGTTATTGACATTTTTAAGGCAACCCTATAAACAACTGAATGAAGACTCTCTAAAGACGCATGTGGCATCCACAGCCCATTCTTTTGGAGTAGAGGCTGATTTGTTGCAGTGAATGTCTGTATTCCATCAAACCTTTGTTGGGAAAAATGAAGTTTAAAGTGCTGTCACGCAAAATTATTTTTTGTCGCTGCTTTCTTTCTTATGAAAGAGCTGATAGCTTAACACTAGCTAATCCCGCTTATTAATTTTATGAAGAAAGTACTTGGAATGTCACAGCTAAAGCATTTTGCCCACCATTCACAAGGGTCAGTTAGAGGAATTTCCTTACTTTCAGAAGCAATGTAAAGCAGAGATTGCTTGAAAGAGCAAAAAAAGCAAAGAGCTTTGGGCTTCTGATAGATGAAGTCACGGTATTAACCGCATGTTTTCTAAAGTGCCAAATTCAGCTAAAGAAAGTGAATTGAAACCAATGAGACAAGACAAAGATGCTATTATTAGCAAAGCAATTTCAAAATTCAAAATTGAAGGGATCCAAAACACATTTGGAGACATTTTTTCTTGGTGACGTTTTTTCTTTCTGGTGCAAAGTTCAGTGTTTACATACCGAATCTGGTACTCATGGGATTCCAGATGATTCAAGTTTATGTTTCTCTCAGTCTATTATTGTAAAGCATCGTCATCAGTAAGGAATTTCTAGGACTGAAAGGCGGACGTCTCTCCCACAACATGATCCTCGCATCAAATCCACGAGTTTTCAAAAACTTCAGTTGAAGTACAAGGTGAAACACAAGTTTGTTTGTGCAACGGCATTAAAAAATATGGCTCACAGATAGGGAACAATCTCGAGTTCCTGTAAGAAAAATTCTTAAGGATAGAAAAAGAATATGATCCTATCTAAGACCCCATGTTCCAAGCACATCCTTCATCTTTAATTTGTGTAAAAAGTTAAAAATCTGACAGCATTCCTGCATGTGTAGCTATATGCCCAATGACAGTTAACTCGCACTTTTTGGATGGTTTACATGAGAGACAACAACCATCTTTGAAACTTGCTTCAATGGGTAATGACAACACATAAAAGCCAAGGGGTTGACCCTGCCAAAGGCATGGATCAATATTGGTAAAAGACTTGATACCACTGCAGCAAGTCAGACCTAACAAGAACTACAGTTGGCATAATTATCTGTTGTACATATGTCACCATAATATTTACAGTTTGTACACAGGTAACTCCATATTATCCTCTTTTTTTTCTCCAATGGTGAATTTTCCTAGATTTTTGTTTCAAATTTTACTTTTAAATTTGAAGCATTATTATAGCTAAAAACCCAAAAAAACTCTTTGATAACTTAAACTTAACCTTGTCTTTTCTATTTCCATGATTCCACAGACAGTGGCAGAAAAACTACAAGGTAATCGAGTGAACCAGCAGGCAATGGCACAAACAAAGAAAGGTTCTGCAGGCAAATGAGACGAGTTGAATACAGTAAAAAAATCCTTACCAAATCTCAAAACCCATAGACATTCCAGACCAAATCTTCAATCCACACTTTTAAATCACTGTAGATTAAACTAATCTATGTTCATATTATTTTAACCCAGTACCAACAGAAATGCAGTGCTGCTTCCATGGTGTGTGACTGATTAAACGGTCTGGATTTTAAAAGTACTTCAATTGTGAGATGAGTGTACAAACCAATTCAAGTGTAGTAAAAGCAAACTGCTTGCCAAAGGGAAAAAAGAATATCGTGATACCTTGTACCAGCATCAATCACCAGTAAAGATAAAGAAATATGGTGTTAGCAACAAGTATGGCCGACAAGATATTGTTATTGACAGGCACACAATGTTGACACCCTGCACAGCCTCCTTCCCATACAAGAGCCTAAGAATTGTAACCTCTGTTGCATGACTGCACAGTCTCCTTCGCATTCAAGAGTCTCACAATGTAACCTCTATTGCATGACTGCACAGTCTCCTTCGCATACAAGAGTCTCACAATGTAACCTCTATTGCATGACTGCACAGTCTCCTTCACATACAAGAGTCTCACAATGTAACCTCTATTGCATGACTACGCAGTCTCCTTCCCATACAAGAGTCTCACAATGTAACCTCTATTGCATGACTGCAAAGTCTCCTTCAAATACAAGAGTCTCACAATGTAACCTCTATTGCATGACTGCACAGTCTCCTTCCCATACAAGAGCCTCACAATGTAACCTCTATTGCATGACTGCACAGCCTCCTTCAAATACAAGAGTCTCACAATGTAACCTCTATTGCATGACTGCACAGTCTCCTTCCCATACAAGAGTCTCATGGTGTAACCTCTATTGCATGACTGCACAGCTTCCTTCCCATACAAGAGTCTCACAATGTAACCTCTATTGCATGACTGCACAGTCTCCTTCGCATACAAGAGCCCAAACAATGTAACCTCTATTGCATGACTGCACAGCCTCCTTCCCATACAAGTCTAAACAATGTAACCTCTATTGCATGACTGCACAGCCTCCTTCCCATACAAGAGCCTCACAATGTAACCTCTATTGCATGACTGCAAAGTCTCCTTCGCATACAAGAGCCTAAACAATGTAACCTCTATTGCATGACTGCACAGCCTCCTTCCCATACAAGAGTCTAAACAATGTAACCTCTATTGCATGACTGCAAAGTCTCCTTCGCATACAAGAGTCCCACAATGTGACCTCTATTGCATGACTGCACAGCTTCCTTCCCATACAAGAGTCCCACAATGTGACCTCTATTGCATGACTGCAAAGTCTCCTTCGCATACAAGAGCCTAAACAATGTAACCTCTATTGCATGACTGCACAGCCTCCTTCCCATACAAGAGCCTCACAATGTAACCTCTATTGCATGACTGCACAGCTTCCTTCCCATACAAGAGTCCCACAATGTGACCTCTATTGCATGACTGCAAAGTCTCCTTCGCATACAAGAGCCTAAACAATGTAACCTCTATTGCATGACTGCTCAGCTTCCTTCCCATACAAGAGTCTCAAAATGTAACCTCTATTGCATGACTCAACACTGTCTCCTTCCCATACAAGAGCCTCACAGTATAACCTCTATTGCATCACTCTACAGCCTCCTTCCCATACAACAGCCTGAACATTGTAACCTATATTGCATCACTGCACAGCTTCCTTCCCATACAAGAGTCTCACAATGTAACCTCTATTGCATGACTGCACAGCCTCCTTCCCATACAAGAGTCTCACAATGTAACCTCTACTGCATCACTGCACAGCCTCCTTCCCATACAAGAGTCTCACAATGTAACCTCTATTGCATGACTGCACAGCCTCCTTCCCATACAAGAGTCTCACAATGTAACCTCTATTGCATCACTGCACAGCCTCCTTCCCATACAAGAGTCTCACAATGTAACCTATATTGCATCACTGCACAGCCTCCTTCCCATACAAGAGTCACACAATGTAACCTTTATCGCATCACTTTCTCAAGTGACCCCAGATCAACTTGTTTCAATAAAAGGACAATTGCTACAATTGTCAGGAATCAAAACACTTGTTCTTAAATGAAGAAACAAGCAGGCTACATCAGTGATCCCACTGGCTTCATTAAACTTGTGCTATGGGGACACCATGCAGGAACCCTCGGCCAAGGTCAGCCAAACTAGAGTCAGAGAGTCAAAGTTGCCCATTCCAAACGCTACTTGAACACTCCCAAAAAAAGAAGATTGCCATATAACATTACATTACATTACTGTGTCAACCAGTTGACATAGTTTCCCCTTTAAAGATATAAATGCACACATCCTTGGTGTCACCAACATCAGCAAGTATCACAGTTGTTGTTCATGTAATAAAAAGGTAACTATCAATAGCAAGTTGGCAACATGCAGTACCTGCAATATGACAATGAAAATGACCCGTTGTAATGTCCAGTGCTCTTTGAAATT